GTCATTTCAAATGTTGAACGAGATCAAAGGGTTGCATTATGCTCAAATGAGTCTTATACGAGATGTTCATAAATTTATTGATGTATCATCGATTATTTATACGTAATTAATCACTGTAAAAAGCATTCATTTTGTATTGCATATGTCTAGTCTATCGAGAAATTATTAATTGTAAAAGTGTATACAGTAATTATATGGAAAATCATTATAAATTAATTAATAATCTTTTCTACATTTATTTTTATGTATTCTTTTATGTTTTGTACCATAACGACAAAGATAAAATATATAAAATGTGTTTTTATATCTTTAATGCGTAAAGTGTGTAAGAGGCTATTATAAAAATATATAAACACGTAAAAAATTTCTTGTACTATTTTTACTACTTACAGTCGTACAAAATTGATTTGATAAAATTATTGACACGCTTGTGTCAATAATTGTCGATATTAATTATGGGAAATATCTTAGATATCTTACAAACGCAATCTATACTGCCCAACATATAATTGAAACTATATACTGTGTATATAGTTTCAATTATATGTTGGGCTATTTTTTTGATGGAGTAAAAAATGGGATAATTATTTTATTCATAAAGGAAAATATTTAATGATATTAATAATATATTGAATATGTTTAATTATACACATCAACATTTTTCTTTTCGCGGAATAGTTAGTATAATCCTAATTTAAATCAAATATATTTCACATTTATAATATATTTCTTCTATTATTTTAACTTGTATACGTTAATATGTTTTTACAAATAAAATATGATTAATTTTTCTTTGCAAATTATTCAAATCAATCGCTTATTCCAAGCGATGTTGCTGTGTATTAATACATGTATATACATTTAAATTATATTAATATACATTTTTTGAAATAAAATTTATTAAACATATTTAACATAAAAAATTAAACGTATTTAAACATATATATTATAATTAATATATATATACATATATATATATATATATATTTTATAAAAACAATACATAATATAATAATACATATGTTTAAATTATATATATATATATATATGTATATATTATTTAAACATATGTATTATTATATGTATTGTTTGCATAAGATAAGGAATGATATGTCTTAAGAAAACATTTTCCCAGTTTTTTTATTAAATAACGTATATGCACTTGTCTTGAGCTTTAAATTTTTGCATACTATAAAAATTTATAAATTGTTATTATTTAATTTATTTCATGGAAGTTTGTATAATTGTGGAGAATGATGGAAAACATGAGAAGCCTGCATAATAATATTTTCGTTTAATAAAAAATATAACTCCGTATCTGTAAATGAATACACTAAGAAGCTAAAGAAAAATTTTTAAACTAAATTGGTATATGTGCGCATATACATATACGGTCATATCACGTCTTCTTTCGATTTGTTCGAAGTGTAGATAATATTTTGTAGCGTATAAATCGAGTATGTACTTTATCTGTATTATCTATCATACGCGCATGACTTAATTTGCGTGCGTTAATTCCAGACTTGCGACATCCAGTGTATCCAGTAGATAGTCGCCAGAAAGTTACATCAGGGAAAAACTGCTGAACTTGTGGACTTAAAATTTTTAAGATTTTCGAAACAAAACTAATCGTTTTTTGTTTATAATTAACAAGTGCTCCACCCATTACATATATTCATAATTTTGTACTTATTCATACGACTATTGGCTATTACTGATTGAATTAAACATGAATTAAAAAATGAGAACTAATAAAAGAAAGAAAAAGAGAAAGGTATAATCACAGTGAATAATCGAACATCGAGACAGTCACGGATTACAATTATTGGCATTTCGTACGATATACTATACCATGCGGATTGTTAGACAAATAGTTGTTTACGGTAAGCAAGAAACAAATTATGACACCAATTTGTGATAAATTAAAAATACGGTAAAAACTTTTGTATTATATCATTCTTTCTCAAAGATTTTCTATTTATTAATCAAGTATAGACGTGCAATAAAATATTATTAAAAATACTGTATTATTATAGATACCATTAAATAGATAACGTATTCTTTTGTATATCGTTTGATAAAATAGCATTGCATTATATACTTATAAAAATATTTCAAAATGCAATTATTTTTATAAATTAATATATATAACATAATTTCTAATGAATGTATGATAAATAATAATCTATTTTTATTGAAAAAAAAAACATTTTTATAGAAATTGTCTTATTTACAAATTACTAATGGATTTTATAATTAATCGAGATTATAAATACACAAATTAAATAAAATTTTGTAAGTTAGGTAAAGTAAGACTTCAAAGTGTATTATTTGACATTTTTTTAAAATACATGTTGTCTGACGAGATTTTGTAATTATGAAATGTATAGTAGTATATAAATATCTGAATTCGGAATATAAATCAGAACTTGCAAACAAGATTTTAATGACATCAATGTAAACAGTTACAGTTTTGTATATTTTTATTATTTCGTCATTGTAATAAATATATAAGTATATAAATATATAAGTAAATACTGATAGAAATATATAAATACTGAATAAATTCGAGTTTGCAAATGAATGATATTTTGTGATAATTGTACTTCTGTATATTTTATAAAATTTTTTCAAAATATATACTTTGGCAGTTTCAGAAAGCAGATTTTGAATCTCAGTGAAGAGAAAGACTATATTTTTCCATGTTTATTTATATTGGTAGATAATAAGCGAAGATGATATGTACATAACGCGTCTTTACCACGTTTATTGATGTTTCTCTTGTATCGCTACTTGGCATCGTTAATTAATTTATGATTAATTTTTCTGTCACGAAAGATATGAGCTCCAAACAGAATTTCTTCTATGTACATTATTAACAAAATTCTGAAATTCTATATGTGTGTATAAAATAATTTGCTAAATAATTTCTTATTCATACACAATTATTCAACATATAAAATAACAAAAATGAAAAAATTGAAAGAATACATTTCAAGAGTTTAGCAAAACTGTTTTATTTTTTATTTTTCAGTGTGCATTGGTTTTGGGTACGCTCAAATTAGTAATGATTGTGGGTAAGTATTTATTCGTCGAAATAATGTAATATTCAAATAAATAATCCACGTAGTACACTTTATCTTGAGGATATTCTAAATTATCCCACATTTCCAAATGCAATCTTAAACATGACTTGATGATTTTCTGGATATTCCAAGGATTTGTAAAATAGATCCTATACAGATATCTCACGATATCTGAGTTGAGGTATATTGAACATGTATAGAATATCGAGTGAAATATAATAACTCTCTTAAAAGAAATCGAATGCAAGCGATAGTTAACGATTTACCAACAAACCTTATCGTTTCCTATCATTTTATTTTTATTTTCCAAAAATATTATATTATTATTGCGTTTTCTATTGTTTTTGTTTCATTCTCTGTTGAAAATAAAGAAACGTATAATCTATCATAAAGTCGCTATGTCGTATGACATAAGCAATAATTACGAAAAAAACTCAGACAAGGTTTATTGATTCTTGCCAATGCTGATTCTTGTGCTGACATTGGCGATATCATAGTAAACTGACTGTCTTTACTCAAGCAAAGCTTGATGTCAGCTCAAATAATAATAGATGATTCTTAGTATCGTCTCACAGTATTAATTTTGTGTGTGAGATACAAAATGTTTATTTTTAAAATTACAAATTTTATTATAATTTTTCAATTTAAATATAAATTTTAAATATTTAATATTATCCCAGCAATCACAGATTATAACAGCATAGACAGACACTTGTGCATCTACTGACTGTCTATTATCTGTGGCCATTTTATGATATATTGTAGTTACTATATATCTCAAAATGTCGTTTGTAAGATGTCTCTCGAATGAAGGGTGCTGTATGGAAAGTATCAGCTAATATAATTATTTAAACAGGCTACAAAGATTTCGATGCCATAATGGACAATGTATAACTGGCAAATTACTATGGATCGGCAGAGCAGATTGCAAGGATTTATCTGACGAGACAGTGGCCGAGTG